CTGTGTGGTGGATGTCCTCCCCTGGGGTGGGATGGGAGGGAAGGTAAGATCGTTACATGGACTGAAGCGGCTGCCAGAGGCGCCTGATAATGCTGACGCCCGATCTCAACCTTATCATTGTAACTAGACACGTTTGTTGTTTAGAGTGCTAAAGACTTTATTTCTTATTGACACCGGGATAACCATTCGTAGGCAGGTAAAATACCAGTGAAGTCACACGAGTGAAAATACCAAGTGAGCTTTCGTGCGTAAACATAATATCTCCACACGTGAAGATAACATGTTATCTTCACACGTGAAAAGATCGCTGTTGCTATGTGAAATGATTTAAATGATAAAGCGAAATGATTTAGCATTTCATCGATTTTTATATAAAAAGAACATTACATAGCCGATTGGAGATACGAAATTTCTCCGCGCGGTCCTGTAATATCCTATTTAATTTCCCTTGCTACGCATTTCTTACATTCATATGTACGATACATTAAGTTTCCGCTGTCATTTTTTTTTTTTTGCTATTTTTTTTACAAGAGGATATACTTAGAAATGTAAACAATAATACTAAACAAAAATGACATGATTATCTAGTAATGTTACTTTTGGCAAAATACAACGCGTCAGAGTTCAACTGGAAAGGTAAACTGTCTGGGGAAATCTTTTGTCCTACAAACGATAAACTAGCCTGCTTTATTAGTTTTTTAAACTTAAAGATCACAACAGTCGATTGATTTGGCTCCAATAATAAAATATTGGAAAAACAGGAATGAACTTGTCAAGGTGAGGACCGTGCAACAACTAGAACACTTGAAACATTAACCACGTTTAATCTTTCAAAATAAGAGGAACAAATGACAGTTTTTTCACTCCATTTTCTTCAGGAAAATGTAAATCATGGAATAATTACGAAGCGTTACGACGATCGTGTCAGAGAAACAAAGTTGGCTTGATTGCGTTTGGAAAATACAGAGTGCTTACAGGAATCTAACATAAGACAGCAGGCCTTACCCTTAAGCCAAAAATGAGGTACCTCCCTGCCCATATGGGGTCACAAGCGATGCCGAGGGAAGGCGAGAAATGTGAAGTAAATAAGAGAAAATGAGACGATTACCAACTTACTTCTCATCCACTACAGTTTCTTTCGAGTCTTTTGGGGATGTTCGTGTCGACGTTTGTGTTTTCGCCTATAAGTTAAACGATGAGAGTTAAAACACGTTAGAAAATCCATGCAATAACAATCAGAGCATACAGAAAGCCCATCAAAATAGTCTGTCAAAAATTTACTTACTGGAGGTTTCCACGATAATGTAATGGAGCTTTTGAAGGAAGGTGGATTGTGGAACAGATCCTGAGACAAAAGAGACCAGTAATGGATGAAGGGTTGTGGAGCAAACTTTGTCCAAATTTGACACATCATTCCGTGCCACTATAATGGACTTCAATTCAACACATGTTTATTACAAGACCACGAAAACGCAAATCGACTGATTAAATCCACGCACCCCCCGTATCTCAAAAAAGAAAAAAAAAATCCTACTGCCTGTTTTAGAGCTGTTTTGTTCAGTGTGAAGGTGTGTTCCAATCAGTGTGAAGGTCTGCATGATCAAGAACCAACGAGGACTCAAAATAAAAACAGGCAAGCTGCTTTAACGCGGGAAAACGTTCCAAGAAAAGAAAAAATAAAGCAATCCTAGATTACTTTCACTTTGCCGTTTTCTATGTCACATTGTCTATATTGACTGGTCCCAAGAAAGTGTTAAAACCCCTGGTGGTAACATTTATTCATTACCAGTTTACGTTGCAGTGTATTACAACTGAAAGGGGAGGCGAAGGATTAACACATTGGAAGAAATATTGAAAAAACAACAACAACAACAACAACAACAAAAAACAAAAACAAAAGAGATAAAATACTATTCCCAATTGTCAATACCTTGAATAAGAGAGTGGTCATCGAAGTAAAGAAATCTACACAAGGTCGTGGGTTCAACTCTGTACAAGCCTGAATTTTTTCAGGCTTTATTTTCACAACTGCTTAATAAGTAGTGTTCCTTACTGTGACAATCACTATATGATATTCATACATGTACATTCACAGTCGTTAATACCTTGATGACAGCGTTGATGTTAGAAGTCGTCCTAAGCGCAACAATTTTAATTTTATTTTCCTCCTCTTGAAGAGCTGGACCAGTCTTGCTTTGAAGTGATAGTCTTAGTTGTTTTATGTACACTTGACAGCCCTGAGCAAAGTATTGAAGCCTGTAAAAAACAAAACAAAGTTCAGGTAAACACAGTCTTCAATGAACAATGAAACGACAACAGCAAGTATGGATTTATTTGGAGTAAATGTAGGGCAAGACTTATCAAAGGCATTCTCTGTAAATCGACACACAAGTTCATTTTGAAATTCTAGTCAAATACCACTAAGCAATAATCAAAGTGACCTATTTGGAAGCTTACAGAAGTTATAAAACAACAATCACAGAGGTTACATGTACAAAACAATGATCACAGTTGTGCAATCAAAACAGAACTACAACCATGAAGGGAATAAATTTTTACAATGGGAGTTTCATATTACAATTGGACTAAAAGTATGCAAAACAACTTACAGTATAGTTTACTATTGTTTACCTAAGTCGAAAATCTTTAAGACGCTCTGTGGCACTTGCATCAGTCAAAAATTCTGGGTTCTGCAGGAGCAAATAAACAAGAATTATTACTTAAAACTATTTTGTACCAATCTACCACTCAAGAACCTCACCAACTCATATCCAGCTAACTTGGACTTCCCCCCTTAACTCAAACTAAAGACCATTTTCCTTGAAAAGCCTTTCTAGTCACAAGTTATTCCCATAAACCCACTCATTTCCCATAACTCTTGGTAGTAATAGTTCTTCCCAACTAGGCTACAACTTCAGTAGCCAAATTCCAAAGTTATATGTCTTTTATAATTTTGGCCTTTACCACTCAGCACATACAGTTTGAAAATCATTTATTTGTAACATTAAAACTAACCAGTTGACAAGGAGGGGCAAAGATAAATGTACCAATTTCAGTCTCCAGTGGCCACAATCCAACCAAGACTCAAGGCTAATACAAGGAACTATAAACAGAAATCACTGCAGTGATAGCTAAACATCTATTGTGTACATGTTTACCTTTTTTGCTAACTGATGAAATGTAAAAATAAGGCATTCAACGTAAGAGAATTGGAATTTTGGTTCAGGGTTTTCTTCTGTGCTTTTTTCCTCTTCATCGCCAGGAGGTAATGGCATGTATTCCTGTGGATGAATTTTGTTAAAGATATAATTTTTGAAGCCAATAATGACGACAACATAAGTAATCAGGACTGGTGACCAAAACAAAACAAAAAAAATAAAATGCATTAAAAGTGACCAAGAGCATTTAAATTTACTTTGAAAGAGATAATTTTAAACAGACAATGGAAGAAGTCTATGGGTATAATGGTGTTCACCTGCATGTAACCCTTCCCATACAATGTTGAATTTCCTAACATAGCAGAGGGAGTTCAACATTGTCTGGGGACTCCCAAGCTAAAAGAGGACTTCTAAAATCAAAGTCTCCTTCAAGGAAAATTGTCATTTGCAGCATCTCATGTACTTAAGCCACCAACTGCAGCTCATAGAAAGGACACTGATTGTCTCAGCTCAGGATAAAGCAATGATTGAGTAATGATCCACCCGTAACCATACTAAATAAAGTCTTTTCCTCAACCATGAGCCTGGCTGACCTAAAGAGTTTTAGCTAAAATCCAAGATCAGAAAGATTACACAGTTTGATTTTTCACACATAAAAGAATGTACAGGTTTCATGTTTGATGACAGACCTAAGGAAAACAAAACAACAGTACTGTAAACCCTTCCTCAAGATCTTCAACTAAACAACTAATTTTATAATTCTCTCAGGTTAAGTTACTAACGTTTTGAACTACCTAAGCCTCACGAATTGTCAATACTTTCAGAATTTAACATGTGTACAGGTGAAGCAAAGGAAAACTTTAATGAAATGCAGGGAGGCACAGGTATCTGTGCCATGAGATGGAGTGCAGTAAATGGTTTGAACCCGGGGGTAACATGTGAAGGTGTAGTCTGATGATGACTTCCGCACAGGTTGTCGAAACATCAGTCACTACCACCGACAACAGTCCTTCTCAGGACTACACTCACCCGGACGATCAGACTACACCTTCATGAGATGGAGTGTCTCTCCCTCCAGAGGTGTAAGGGTTGTCAAGACTTTACCTTCACCTTCTGGCACAAGCAATTTATACCATTTAGACGATCAGCCAAAACAAGAAGAGTAAGCAACTACCACTGAAATATCTTACCAAAAGCAAGTTGTAGACAGGTTCTATAGCTGCTTTTATATTTTCATCTGTTAGACCATGTGGTGACATTTCTGAACACAATTTCAACATCTCTAGCTTGACGTCTTCACCATCAGAAGTGACCAGCTCATTCAGCTTTGGTAAAACACTCTCGACAAAGTAAGTAAAAAATGTCTGTGCTGAAGCTCCTTTCTACAAAAAAATGAAAGTCTCTCAGCATCATAACCATCTGAGAGGACTGATGACATAACAGGTACTCACTCTCTCTTGAAACCAAGAGAAAAAGCCAACAAAATAGGAACCTTAAAAACAAACACACAGATAAGGCTGACTGCTTCATTTACAATTTCAAAAAAGCCTGTATTTTTGGCGTTGTTTATGGTCTCAAGTCTAAAAGAAAACTGTTTTTTTTTTTTGCAGCAAAGAGCAGACTTTACACCAGTCACAACAGTGTTGGAGGTGTGAAAGTATTGATACCCAATCAGAACGATGAAAAGTCATTTCCAAGAAAACTTGTTACTGTATCCAGTTTGGATGTCTAATCATGTGATAGTAAACTTTGTTATGTAATTGACAGTCAAAAAATAAAAGGAGCACTGGAAACAAGTCACATTCTCAAAACTTCTTCTTCTACTTGCTATAGTTTTAATCACTCTCATCTCTGACATCTCGTCTGAAGGAAAAAATATACAAGATTCCCAAAGACCAAAGTGAGTTGTCTGTGGCACCTGGGCTTCACTTGCACACGGTCCTGATGTACCAGGAAAAATCCTAGCTGTTTACAGTAGAAATGCACTATCACATCAAACTAAACAATGTTGTGGCAGCTGGAACTTACCACAAAATATGGAATTGCTTGTCTGGCACATGAAATGAATCTGTCAACAACATCAGCATCTCCAGGCTGAAAGTGACAACACAGCAAAATATACATCATCCTTAAGCACAAAAATCCTTCAAATTCAACTAAATTGCAGTTGATTGCACTGAAACTTGTTGTTCAATTGTAAGGACCACAATTTAGAAAGATATAATATGTCTCAAAAATGTGTTTACAATCCAGAATCCTTTTAACCTACAGGTGAACATACTGTAATGTAGTACTAGCTAGTAAGATTCAGCTCTATTGAGTACAATACCCAGATCTTGGATTAAAAAATAAAGTACAAATTTACCTGGAATGGTTGGCTTAGTTCAGCCTGTTCTCCAACTATATCTGCAAGTTCCTGGTGAGCACTGCCCATTACTTTTAAGGACGAAAGGATGGTCATAAATGTGCGAAATTCTTCACCAGTTACATCTGCCATGGCCTGCAATGAAACAAGAAACAGGCAAAATCAGTAACATTCTGATAATGTAAAACTTAATCTTTATCCAAAGAATGGCTGTGGTCTCAGAAAGAGGCAGATGAAAACATCATGACCAGTACAACAATTCAAACAATGCAGATGATTGCCACTTTCTTCAAATAATGGCAACCAACATACACATGCAGGCTGTCTGTCATTTTATTAGCCGAGAGATTATCATCCCTGACCACTGCATTTCCTACTGGCATAACTGATGGAAATTTTCAACAGAGCATCGAAAGTCAAGCTAATGGCTTGAAGCTTGAAGTCAATCATGTGTCTGAGATGGATTTAGAAAATTTAAATGGAGAGGAAGAGGGGTCCAACCTTTGAATTAGAAAACACAAAGTTATTCTTTTTGTTGTTGTTGTTGTTGTTTTTTTTTTTTGCTTTTTTTTACATACACTCCCTCCTAAATAAGCTGAGAAAGGATTCAAGACAGGTAAATTTTAAATACTTCATTAAGGGGTGACTTGCCATCATGTGATTGCAAGAATTTTGCTGTCACACACGTAGTAATTAGAACAGATGAGAAAGGGGGGGGGGGTTTCCCCTTGATCCACCAAAGCGGAGTTTTCATACTTTTAGTTCTCATTAACACCTTGCAATACTGTATTTACCTTCCCTCATTAATTACTTTCATTTAAGTTTCAAAATAGTAAATCCACATAAATTTTTCTTAACTACCAGAACAATATTGTTAACCCAAAAACCTGTGGTTAAAGCAAACCTTACTAACTGACCTTTTTTATCTCTTCTACTAAGTACTCTTCAGTTTCGGGTGAGGGATGTAACACTTTCTTGCCATACTCTTCCACAGCACCACTTAAAAACTTGATAGCACTCTCTCTGGATGCTTCCTCTCCACTGAGAATTTGTGAGAACAGTCCACCGATTGTTCCTGGACCATTAAGAGGGTTTTGCAAAAAATAAAAAATAATGAAATGATTAAAAGTTATTGAAATTGAATTCAGGTCAGTAAAACTACAAATGCAGGTTTATTTGTGATTTCCATTTTACAAGAATTATGATAACTCACCTGAAAAATGGGAAAATACAAAGAACAAATGCTGAAATAATTTTGACCTACATGTAACTCTATTCTTGACTATAACAAAGAGTTTCATCCTTTCATCCATCATAATTTGGATATATCAACAAAGTTGAAATGGTAAATTGGCCAC